GAAATACGGATCAATTTATTTTTAATAACCTGAAGTACAGTTTCGTTCTGAAAGGACCCTTGAAACTGCACCGACCGCATCCTTTGTTTTATTCGTATTTGCACGTGGAGCCGACTCCCGGCTATATTGAATTACAGAAATAAAATACGGATTTTAATTCAAAAGTAAATTTTGTTGAAACGCTTATCCTGGTTAGTGGTTTTTCAAACGGAAAACATTAATTACCTATTGTTACGCGCCGGGGTTCGGGATAAATAAAAATTCTACCGAATTTACAAGTTAACACTGTATTAACACTTAAAACACTTTAAAATTCTCAATTCGCTTCTTCCGCTTCGCTTCAGGAATCTGTTCGCTGTTTCGCTTCGAGTAGTTCCTAATATTAACTGCGTGCCATCTCTGCAACGCTTTTATAGTCGAGACGAAATCCCTAGAATCGTCGAGAATATTCCACAAAAGTCGAGTATTGTGTTTCCGCTATCTGACAACAGATAGCTCTGTACTTCTCGAGCGTTCTAGATGCTACTAGATCCTTCGATATTCGTTCGGCTATTCGGCGATAGATGGCGTTACTCTTACAGGCTTAACACTATTAATTAATTTAAATTGGATGTCGAACGCGGTATTTGAACAGTATTCTATCTTTATTAGATATGGTTCGTCAATGGCCCACAATTTTGGGCCGGGACCAAGACTCCAAACAAAATCCGATACTGAGAAACTTTCGGTGTGCTTGAGACTGCCGTGGCCATCCACTAAATGTCTCCCCTAAAATCTCGCCTGAACATCTGGTTTTCGTCCGTGGCTTCACCAAAAACGTCTAGCTGGTGGAAACGTTATTCCGTTAACGTTCCAGCCATTAAAACGTTCTACATCAGACATCTCGGTCGGTAGCCACTGCTTACTACTGAGGAATCACTTCAAATCCCATTTGAAGAAGGACATAACGTAGCGTTTGGGAAACACCGTGGAGGGGATGCATGTAGCGGCTACAGTTAGTATAGTTAGGTAAACTCAGCACAGAAACGGGCGGGCAATGGTTGAAAAGAGAGGAAAGAGAGAAAGCAATGACCTCGAACGATCGCTCAAAGCACTCCTCATGGAACATACGGTGCAGAGCACAAAGAGAACTGAAATCCATTCGTAGACCCTGATGCTTCAAAAGATCTATGAGAAAGAAATTATTCTTAGGAAGTCTTAAGTAATCTTAGGTATTTGGGTGCACCGGCCTAGATTTGGGAGTCTAACCACGAACATATAATAAAGTTGAGACTTTGACCAGTTGTGAAAGCTGTGAGTTTGACCACCCGTTTAAGTAAAAACTTATAAGAAATTAAGGCACAGTTTTTCCATTGAAAGTTCACAGCTTACAGTTGTCAAGCTTGTAACAGTGGCCTTGCGTGTATCGACTAAACAGCTAACGCTATGGTTTTTCGTTGATTCAAAAGAACGTGGGTATCTATTTAATGTCTAAATATCTTTGATGAAACCAAACTCTGTCAATTCGATTGTTTAAATTGAATACTGTCCTTCAAACAAACTTCATGCTGCCCTCATTTTCCATAGTGATGGCACAACGGGAATCCTTGAGGCAATGTGATTTCCAGATAATCACGGGTGGTTTTGTGAATCCATGCAATAGTTACTATAGTCCAACGTATTTCGGCTCCGAAAAAACATTGCAGTTTGAAGACTATTATAATATAATACAATCGAGAACAACTTATTGGGAGTGGCTTCTGTCTCAAGGTGGTTAGGTTCATATACACTTACAAAATCCTGATGAGGGAGCCGCGGTATAGTTACGTAGGTACTTGATAAGTACCTTGCCTATTTTGTCAGATACCACTGTATTTCAAGCTAAACTTGTTGTCTTGTTAACAAGATTACTTATACTATAATAATATTATAAAGAGGAAAGATTTGTTTGTTTGTTTGTTTCGAATAGGCTCCGAAACTACTGGACCGATTTGAAAAATTCTTTTTCCATTAGAAGCCGACATTGTCCCTGATGAACATAGGTTACTTTTTATATTTTTTTTATATATATTTTTTTTGGTTTCATGTGTGTTTTAATGTTTCCGAAGCGAAGCGAGGGCGGGTCGCTAGTATACTATAAACTGTTCTATCGTTTGAAGGGTCTTTATAAAATACAATTAAACCTTCACTACCTAATATGAGTAACAAAATTCAATGTCCACTGACACACGTAGGCACTTAACACTCATTTAAAAAATAAAATACTTACCTTCATGAGCATTCAAATTAATGTAAATAAGTTTGATCAACCCACGATGTATTAACTCAATCTTATAATAGTATCTAATGCCTCAAACAAGTAAAGAATCAACATCACCAACAGTATCTAGAAAATGCTTCTATCATGAATCGCAATATCCATTAACGCGTTTTACCCCTAAGCTGACTCCATTGACACTGCACCGATCACAATCAAAGCCCCGCTGTATGCTGATTGATGTTAACGTGGCTTTTGAGCTTCGAATCGCATTAAAGACGACGCAGCGATTAAGCTCGCACGAACAGGCTTTTAAGCTCGCTAATGTCATTCGCGTATCCCATGAATCAAATTGAAATTTAAGGACGAGCCCATTAGAATTGTTAATATCTTAGAATTTGCATTGATTAAATCTAAAATCAGCTTCGGCGGTTCGAGACTTTGAAATGGATTGGTAATGTGTCTAAAAAGATTTGGAGTGAATTATGATTTTTAATGAATTAAGATTTAAATATTACTAGTTATACTGTATCAAGATTCGCTGTTGAGTTCATGTTCAATGAGAAATGTTTGTAATACACGTATTTATTGAAACTCCTTAAATACATAATATTAGGGAACAACATAACATTCTCTAAGTGTGAATGATGCTAGTACATAGAAAGTTTCAACTCAATTTCAAGTCGTTTTGGCCCAAAGCATAAGACGTCCGGTGCATTCGTATGTAGCGATGCACCGTTGTTCGAAACCAATTTTTCTAATGAAATACGTACTTAGCAAATGTTCACGATTGACTTCCACGGTGAAGGAATAACATCGTGTAATAAAAATCAAACCCGCAAAATTATAATTTGCATAATCACTGGTGGTAGGACCTCTTGGGAGTCCGCACGGGTAGGTACCACCGCCCCGCCTATTTCCGCCGTGAAGCAGTAATGTGTTTCGGTTCGAAGGGTGGGGTAGCCGTTGTGGCTGTACTGAGACCTTAGACCTTATATCTCAAGATGGGTGGCGCATTTACGTTGTAGATGTCTATGGGCTCCAGTAACCACTTAACATCAGGTGGGCTGTGAGCTCGTCCACCCATCTAAGCAATAAAAAGATAAAAGAAAAAAGAAAATCAAACTTTTTTTTTTCTACGTTTGCACAGGTTTACTTATTAAGCTTAAGTAAAGCTTACTTATTGTTACTGACTGCAAGTTGTCGACATCACGAATGAGAGAACCTACCCAGTTGAGCACACATGAGATCGACGTTTCAGTTGTTTTATGTGAGAACCCTTTCTTTGTAGCGAAACGCATAACTGCTTTGCAATAGAAACAGGCTGGCTGATTATCCTTATCCGTCCACGATCTACCTCGAACTTCTTTGATTGTTTCATAGAGATTATTCAAACACAGGAAGGTACAGTATGTTGGGAGCCGGATCGGTATTGTTGTTTTGCCTGCTTTTTCTTGTGTGCTCTAGTTTGGAAACCTATAATACAATCGCTATTAAGTACTGAAAAAGCCATTTCACATTCAGTTTTTGGCCACGTTTACTGGATTATCTATAAAAATACATCTCAACTTCAAATCCAAGATAGACATTAAGTTTCACAAACTATACTATCTATTGAATAATGACATGACAGAATTAAATATCAAACGATAATTGATAACACTCGCCTTTTGTCCTTCAAAATGTTTTCGATGTGCATGTCTGTTCTATTGCTTATAATATGTATAATATGTTTTCTGGTGTTTTTCTGTGATGTTTGACTGTTGCTATTTTATTGTAAGCGTCTTAAGAATTTGAGTTTTTTTGAGTGTTACATAAAGTATTCACAAGTGTTCCACAGACAACAATATTATTATATTTAATAACGTCACCAATGACTCGGCTAAGGAAAATCACGAGTGTCGCACTCGGCATGTATGGCAATAGTATTCTGTTCGGTTTTCGTGTGTCGTACACTTAGTTGACTTGAAATGAAACATTAAAGTCTAGAAATATGTATTATTATGTGTATATTTCTCAAAGAAAATAGAAGGTAGTTAGCTTTATATTCAAATTTCGACAAATAACAAACATCTAAGTCATCTGTGACCGCGAGAAGTTTTAAACTATTGTACTTGCTTCGGCAGTACATGTACTAAAATTGGAACGGTACAGAGAAGATTAGCATGGCCCCTGCGCAAGGATGACACGCAAAATCGTGAAGCGTTCCAAATTTTTTTAAACGGTAGGCAGCGGCTTGGCTCTGCCCCTGGCATTGCTGAAGTCCATGGGCGACGATAACCACTCACCATCAGGTGGCCCGTATGCTCGTCTGCCTACAAGGGCAACAAAAAAAAAATTCGAAACACCGAAAATACGAATGAAACAAGTGAGAGATTAAATCATAAAACAGTTTTAATTGTATCACAATATTGAATCGAATTCAGTCTTGCTTAGAATTGAAAATCGAGAATGCGAAATATAATAAATTATTATTAAAAGAATCACATGAAAGATTATTTTCAAATTCATTTTGTAAGCATCGTAGAATCGTTATTGCAACGAAACCTCATTTACAGCACTTCTGAATATCATTCTTTGGAACTGAAAAGCTTTGTGGCATGAACAGCTTTTGTGTTTCGCGAAAATAGAAGCATTAATAGCTTTCGAGCCTTCAGCTAATACCGTCGATTGTGTTGATTAAACGAAAGGTGCTGATTAATGAGGTTTCGTTCCTGAATGTACTGTGTCTCGTTGTGTATTATGTCCGTGTTGTGTTGCACAGCGAGCCTGCCCCCTCAGCAATGTCAGCACTCCATCAGTTCGGGGCAGAAATGTTGCGTCTCTCTCGAGGCTTGGAAGCTTCCGCGGCGGCTAAACCGCAGTTTCGAGGGTATTTAACCAATTGGCAATATTTGTTGGCTTTATCGTACCTACTTCAATGCTTTTGTTATTTGATTTCATTTTTTTTGTGTTCCTTTCTGTAACTTTTCAGTTTTGTCCTTTTTAAAAAGATTATAAGAAGAATAACTGTAGAGGTAATGAATGACCCGTGTGATCTATCTCATTTTAATTAGTTCACTTTTCTAGGACAAACATCTCCGAAAGGGGCGGAATGCTGACGCCTGGTTCATTAAGTGTTTCTTCGAGTTCTCCATCTTCGATGCTGCAAGATCGACGAAGACCATCATCTTCGGGTGACCCGACACCCGTTCATCGACCTAGAAGTGCCTCGGACGACGAGAGCAACGACGGTCTATTAGCACCATCCAATCTTACTGCTAAATCCAGAAGTTCCGAAGATGGTCTTCTTTTACCACCTCCCTGCACCTGTCCCTATTTTGGCTCAGATTCAACACCTCCTCGACGTACCACTGAAGTAATAATCGTTCCTGGCGGCGATATAAACGGTTGCAATGGATTCCCAAAAAACGGTAATATGAGAGATGAACCATCCACCCCAATATTCCGACGGTCAAGTAGAGGCGCGTCATCAATGGTAACTTGGGATGAAGCGAGAAGATTTCGAAGGGGCTCTAGCTTTGGTGGCGCAAGAACAACTTTGTCCACTCCGGTGCGCAGTATTCGAACTCAGAGATCCATGCGATCTCAGCCTAACACGACTCATCAGCGGCAAACACCACGAACGCATCATTCTAGAAATTCCAGTGTAATCTCTAGAAATTCTTCTCGTCACGGGAGAATATTGCGTTTAGAACAAAAAGCCACAAAAGTATTAGGCGTTGTTTTTTTTACGTTCGTCGTTCTCTGGGCTCCGTTTTTCATCCTTAACATGGTACCGGCTGTATGTCCCGACTGCGAAGGGAAAATCGCTCATTGGGTATTCGATTTTGCACTATGGCTAGGCTATGCGAGCTCAATGGTGAATCCAATATTTTATACGATCTTCAATAAAGTGTTCAGGCAGGCCTTCAAAAAGGTATTAAGGTGTCAATATTGTAAATACAGGAGATAGCAAGCGCCTTGGGAGCGCGTCCGTCCGACCTCTGATCCGGGTATTGGCGCTCTCTCAGTCAATAAAAATATAAGGCCACGGTTCGCTTGAGCTGGAAGATGAGCTATACGACTCTTAGTTCTCTTATTGCGTGTAAATATGCCACAAACTGGTCTACCGTATTAATTTCAATCACTTATGTCAACCAATTTCCCTAATGTGTCGCACAAATAATAATATTTACCCACCTCCTGAACTCGTTACTATGTATGTATATAATATTATTATGTAGACCTAAAAGGGTATGTGTACTATATCTAGTAATTTGAACGTAATTACGAAAAGATATAATCTAGAATAGCTTGTAAACAATGTTGTTAGCGCTATCGATTTAATTAAGGGGAAAAACGAAAGCTTTGTGCTTAGTGATTTTTATCAGAACTAATTTTAAGACTGATTTCTTTGTTAAATACTTTTAGGAAACTGTGGTTGTTTTGTATTTCTGGTCGAACAAATACTTTTAATGTCTGAATGAATCTCACATCATTTAATTTTTAATTGACTAGTGCTGTAATTGTAGGTTAGCGTTATTGCGAATTATCACAACTCAAATGCCCATGGAGTGGGAGTGGACCGGTATTGCCTCCGTCGAACAGCTGTTCCGGCTGGCTGCTGATAAAAATGAATATAGAAAGCTAACGGCCAACCTTCAGGATTGAAGAGGCACTGGAAGAAGAAGAAGAAATGACCATAGTAATTACTGAGCTCAAAGCAGTAAATGAAATAAATTAATTAATAATGTTTGAGAAGTGAAATCATATAAGTTATCGAATTGGAACAATTTCGAACAAAATATTAAAAATTAAAATTAACGTTCCATTATTTTTTTTACATTTCTATCGCACACAATGCAAATCTACTAAAAAGTCAACTGGGTCGACTATTGCCTTCTTCTTTTTGCTTTACATTGAAGATTCACGTAAGTTAATCTTTTTGTATTATGTTTGAGAGATTACTGGTGGCCCAGAGGCCTTTCCAGTTATGATAATATTAATAATTTGGCTTACTAAAATAATTTCGTTTTCTGCTTACTTCATTTTAGTATTTAATTTCCATTGCGGGCTTCGGTAATGAATAATGCGTTATACACTTCATTTATGTATTCGATTATTCTTAAAACTACACATAGATCACATTTGTATTCATGTGTTTAATTTATATTTCAATAAACATACCATTATTTACTCTACACTTTAGTTGACTGGTAGACGATGCCTTAGACATTAAATCCACCAATTTTAATAAATACATTAAGTGTAATAAAAAATATAATTTTAACATCATTTCAAACCTAGAGTGTATTTTAATTAACCCTTATTAATTTCATATTAAATCCTAAATTTGTTTCATATATTTATATGCTGAAAAAACCTGAAAGTAGGTACTACAATAAAGAACTAGTAGCATCCTTTTTATTTACTCACAATTCAAACTTGCAAGTCATCCGTCCATAAGAATCTAACAAAACTTTAAATTGAAGTCAAGGAATCAGTTTCAAAAATGCCCCATTTCTGTTGGATAATCAGACCTTGGTCAAGTTCATTATAAATATTATACACACAGCCGCTGAATCGATAATCGTAGCTATCAGAACCATAGGAGCTATAATAATTCAATTATAATAATTGTCTTTGTACATAAACAGGACCATCTGAAGGCTCAAAAAAATTTTTAAAATAGTATGCTTGAAATACCTTTGAAGGCTTTAAGACTTTCTCAAGCAATTCACTCTTTCGCAATAAATAATCGTAGGACTCTCAAGCTAATGAATTCACGCTTTAGTAAACAGCATTAATTCATTTTCTTACAAAGGAATAAATATTTTAAGCATTAAATCCTCTGAAATTCGCATGAATATAAACACAGATGATTAATGTTGGAAAATCTGTTGTTTCGTTTTTTTATTTTTTTTATTACCCTTGTAAGCAGACGAGCATACGGCTCACCTGATGGTGAGTGGTTACCGTCGCCCATGGACTTCAGCAATGCCAGGGGCACTTTCATCCCCAAAAAAATACCCCATTTTGGTTCTTTTGCATAAACAACTTGATTACCAAGTCGGAATCATTGTTCTCTTTAAATAGTTAGAACACTTATATTAAGAAAATTAGATATGGTAATAGTTTGAATTTAGGATAAAAAAAATACAGGCTTCTATTAATCTCATAGCTACGTACGGGTATTTGTAATGTATTTAAAATGGAGTCCTTCAGGATGAAACAACGGATTGAAGGTAATCAAATTAAATCAATGTAATTTCTGTATGCTAATTTAACCAAAGTGATTATTGTTTTTTAATCAGTTTCTTAATATTCTCTTACGTAGCCATAACAGAGTTAGGTCAAAAATTACTGACATTAGAAGGTGAGTTGGTAATGTTGAAATATTAGTATATATGTAGTAGTAATATTCCATAATAGTATGCATACCCACGTCACGGATAATTGATAAAAAAATCGAAACTGAGCATTATTTTTTTTTATTTTTTTTAAGTTTTATCAAAGTAAAATACTTAACGGTAGGCAGCGGCTTGGCTCTGTCCCTGGCCTTGCTGAAGTCCATGGGCGACGGTAACCACTCAACATCAGGTGGGCCGTAAGCTCCTCTGCCCACATGGGCAATAAAAAAAAGTAATCATGATCGATAGCATATTAATAGTACAAATTTTAATAATATTAATGGCCAGATCTAGTTGTACGTGCCAGGGATTCTACACTCAAATAAACTTTTGCGAGTTCACAATGGTATTGTTATGTCACCCCAAAACGAAACGAGTCGCGATGGATTATGAAATATAATATTGTAGACTTGATTAGTACGTAGTTAAGTTAAAGATAAGACGCCCGTAAGTTGAATATTAGACTTTCGAAGCACTTTTGCTTTGAAGTTACTACAATAGGTTGCTGGAATTCACGAAACTTTGAAGCAAAATTGTGAAATGAATAATACGATCCTGTATCTAAATCTTTGAGTATATTTTAATGATCGTTTCTTAGTGGCCTGAAATCAGAACGCCCTGAACGTTGTTTGATTTGCAATACAGTCGTCAAACAAAAACTTTTTTCTGTTATGCAACATTTCAATAATACATATACATAAGCACTGTTATAAATGAAAATGCATTTTTTTAAATGAAGTACATAATGTAATATTATTTATTTAATATATTTTATACACACAGCTGTTAGAAGAAGCACGACAATGAGGATACAGAGTACAAGGGCACTACTTATTAAAATTAATTAAATATTATTAAAATTTATACCTACATGTTTATTAAAGTCTCAGCAAAAAAAAAAAAAAAATTCTATTCGAAATGGCCACTATGGTATTTTATCTGTTTGGCCACGAATCTATGGATTTATGAACCGTTTCCAAGGGAAATTTCGCCACTACTTGCTCCAAAGATTTTTTAAGAGACTCAATGTCGCCGTATCGCTTAGAGCAGACCTGTCTTCTAAAACTGACCATAATTTGAAGTCTAAAGGGTTGAGGTCTGGGCCAGTCTTTAGCGCTTATAAAGTCCGAAATGTTGGTTTCAAACCAGGCTTGGGTAGTTCGTGCCTTGTGACCAGATGCAGAGTCCTGCTGAAAAGTCTACGGTATATTTTTAAAAAGTGTATTGCTGAGAGGTTTCGCAATATGGTCCAAGATTGTATCTTGATACACCTTGGCTGAAGTTTTCACTGCTTTTTCACAAAAATGTAGTTCTGTGACTCCTTGATAAAACACATTTTTTTTTTTTTTTTTTTTTTTTTTTTTTATTGCTTAGATGTGTGGACGAGCTCACAGCCCACCTGGTGTTAAGTGGTTACTGGAGCCCATAGACATCTACAACGTAAATGCGCCACACACCTTGAGATATAGTTCTAAGGTCTCAGTATTAGTCACAACGGCTGCCCCACCCTTCAAACCGAAACGCATTACTGCTTCACGGCAGAAATAGGCGGGGCGGTGGTACCTACCCGTGCGGACTCACAAGAGGTCCTACCACCAGTAATTACGCAAATTATAATTTTGCGGGTTTGATTTTTATTGCACGATGTTATTCCTTCACCGTGGAAGTCAATCGTGAACATTTGTTGAGTACGTATTTCATTAGAAAAATTGGTACCCGCCTGCGAGATTCGAACACCAGTGCATCGCTCGATACGAATGCACCGGACGTCTTATCCTTTAGGCCACGACGACATCCCACCGAGCCATCACTGACGCAAGATGATGACCATGTTGTACCTTTCCGACCACTTGAGCAACTTCTTTAGAGCTGTGAGTGTACACTTCATCATTTGGCTTATTGTAGTGTTCTTCAATCGTGAACATTTTTTCATCGGTAAAGAGGATATTTCTGTGCCTTTCACCTGCGTATCGCGACAGAAGGCGTTTTGATCGATCCACTCTCTTTAATTATAAAGATTGATTTAGGGCATGTCCTGTATATTGACGATAAGCACCGAGTTTCCAGTCTTCTATACTAATATTATAAAGAGGAAAGATTTGTTTGTTTGTTTGTTTCGAATAGGCTCCGAAACTACTGGACCGATTTGAAAAATTATTTTTTCATTAGAAGCCGACATTGTCCCTGATGAACATAGGCTACTTTTTCTTAATTTTTTTTAATTTTTTTTTTTTGATTTCTTGTGTGTTTTAATGTTTCCGAAGCGAAGCGAGGGCGGGTCGCTAGTGCTTTATAAAACGCGACAGAGTCCTAGCGGAATTCTTCATTTCTCGCAATAAGATTTTTTGCTTCCTAATGGGTTTTCGACGAATTCTAGCTTTAACAGCATTAACAGCCTTTGGAGTTCTAACAGCACGCGACCGCCCCGATCTTTTCTGGTCTTCGATAGACGAAGTGTTGTTGTATCTGTTGATAGTAGGATATACGAACATACGGCTGATACAAAGCTTTTGAAGTGTCTGGAATATGGCCGATAGCTCCATACACAACTTGTGCAAGGCGA